CTACTTTTTTTTTTTGGTACTGGGAATCGAACTCGGGTCCTTGCGCTTGCAGGGCAGGCGGCGGAACCACTGAGCTAAATCCCCAGCCCATATTCCTACTTTTTTATGCCTTGAGATCGTTGTTGCTATTATTGAAAACTGCGTATTTGAATATTATAATGTGGTAACTCTTCAAGGCAGCACATTCCTCCCTTTCTTTGGGGTTTCCTTTTTAATTGTGGAATGCTGTAGCCTTCTCATTGCTTAGTGCCTTCTCAGCCTTTTTCTTCATTGTGTGTGTAGTCACTGCAGTCTCTGTTCCTTAGCATGTATTCTGTAAATTTTGACAGATTTCCTCGAGCACCACTAGCGGCTATTTGAGTGCCAGGCCACGGATACAGGGGTTAAAAGGATGCATATTGTCGCAGGGGATGTAGCTCAGTGGTCCCACACCTGTCTGGGAAGTGCAAGGTCTTGAGTTCCATTCTTCTTTTTAAAGAGCTTGAGGAAGGAGCTGCAAAAGCCCCCTTTCTGGTCTTCCCTGGGATTTTGATCGCTGAAAGATGTTTGTTCACTTTCTCTATCTTCCTTTGGACAGAAGCAGTGGTGTCCTCTAAATGCATTTCTTGCAAATAGGCCTGTGTTTTGCTTTGGGACCTCTGCCGGGGGAAGAAGGTCCGCGGAGCACCGCGTGCGGAGACGGTGCCGCTGGCCTGGCCATCTGTTTGTCATTTTTTGATAAGCTGGCAGCTGCTCCTTATAATCTGAGGATCAGTAAGTGTTTCTGACTTGTGTATAAACAGGATTGAGATATAATACTCTGGAAGAAATTTTTCCCTTCATATAGATGCATTTAAAGTTCTTTTAAAATATTTTTGCTTATCTAAAAACATAAAGAATGGAGAGACATGCTGAGAATATTTTTACATTTTCCATATGTATTTCTGTGCTTTTCATTAAGACAGAAACCCTTCTAAATAGACTATAGCAAAACATTGCAATTTATTTTAGTGGTTTCTTTTCCAGAAATTTTACCAGATAAAAGTGTTTTTGTCAGTGAATCTCAGAATAAAAGGTCTATAAACTTTATCAAGTAAAATAAATGCTAGCTGTCAAGTTCCTCTGCTAAGCATCTTTAGCCCTCCCTTAATGACCTTGCTGATGAAGTGCACTTGGCATGCATTTGTTGATGAAATAAAGGTCCTTAAAGCAAAATGCAAACGAGACTCATAGATTAATTACATATAAGGACTGCATAAAGATTTAATAAGCATCGAACAATCTAATACAACCATGAATGTTTCTCTAAAAATAATTATTCATAGAAAGCTCACAGTGCAAATAGAGTAAAAATGGAATAACTATAATGAGAAGAGATAACAATGAAATAAGGACAGATTTCCTCCTTCTCTTAAAGTATCATTTCTGAGCACTTCCAACAAATGAGGAAAAACTCACACTGCCAGTGCTTATTTTCAGGAGTTTATGTGAGCAGCCCTGATGAAGTTCTTTCACCAACTTGTTGCACTCCCTTGTTCTGCTTCTGCTCAGCCCAGATGGAAAACTGATCCCAGTCACACTGCAGACTTCCTTATTTGCTGAGCTCCTCCCATCTGACCCCCATTCTCATGTAATAATCTTCCCTCCCTTAAATTATTCTGTCCAGGCTTCTCTTCTATAGGGACTGAGGGCACCAAGGAAAATATGCAGGGCTGTTGCCCCTGCACCCCAGACAAAACAGAGGGCACTCACTGGGTTTTGCTCAGGTGAAAACAGACAAATTTCTACTTTCTTCTTTGAGCAAAACTCTAAAGTATCTTGTTTATTACACTAAATGTGCAGAAAGGATATTCAAGAAGGACTATTTCCAATAGAAGCAGAGTCCTTTAGGAAGAAAGCTGTTTCTACCAAGCCAGGGCAAAGATATGCTTATAAAAGAGATTTGTGTGACAGCAAAGCTGCTTATTGAAACAGTAGGCAGGTCAGTTAGGGAAAGAAATGTCAGCCAGACCAACAGCCATGGCAGCCCACTTCTCAGTCTTCCCTTCTCTTTGTGTGGTCATTCTCTCTCTCTCTCTCTCTCTCTCTCTCTCTCTCTCTCTCTCTCTCTCTCCCACACACACACACACACACCCTCCACCCAGAGCGGTATGAAAAAAATCACATTTCAGAATAAGAATAGTCTAGCTATAAAAATTTAGGTGGAATTTTTTAGGATGCATTCATCTATAAATTACTAGTTTCTTTGTTTAGTTCTGCTCTTCTGTGATAGCTAAATAGAAAAGAAATCCTCAAATGGGATCAAACTAAAATGCTTCATGGTACTTTCTTCCATCCTTTCTGGGGTCCTTCTTGTACAATAATATTTACTGTTGAAAAAGAAAACAGGGTAAATCCATGTTCAAATTCCAAACTGTCAATCTGAGTCTCTGGAATGTGGTAGGTATTTCCTCCACAATAAAATTTCCTTTATGAGATAATGTGAGATAATGTAGAAAGAAATTTTACATCTCAACTTTCATTTCGTCTTAGGGGGTCTTTTCATATCTAGTTCCCTTCATTCTATTATTGTATTTCTATTGTCTTGATTTTTGTTGCACTTTAGTAACTCAACTCAGAAGTAGATCAGGTACAATGAAATAAATACTAATAGAGATAGATTTCAAAGTATTGCCTAAGGAACAGAGAAGAGCCATATAAACCACAAATAATTTATTAGAAAATACTATTCTATTTTTCTAGTGACATATAAGAAAGTAAACTCAGAGTTAAGAAGCAAAAGAATATATACTTTCTTGAGAAAAACACAAATCAACCATAATGTAATTATGAGAAAATGCAAACAGAGAGGAAATGTATAACAGAGAGGAAGGCATGTTACCATATCTAGTACAGTTTTCATTTTGAAACCAAGAATTTGCTAAATGTTATCAAAACAAAGACTTAATGAAGTCATTTGTTCTATTAAACAGCACTTAGAAAGCACCAAATCATAGCACCACCACCACCACCACCAATAATAGTAACTGGCATTTATTTCGTATTGCTCTGTGTCAAAGGCTACATCAAATATTTTCTTGAATCCCTAAAACAACATATAAGGTAGATATTCCTATTCTCATTTCACAGATTTATAAACTGAGACTCATAGAATTTAAGCAAGTTGTTCAAATTTTACATCTAATAGCATAGTAGGATTCAATCCAAGCTCTATTTTGTAAGCATTTGGATATTCCAGTAAATACATGGTTTCTCCTGTATAGGTCAAGGTTATAAAATCAAATGTTTAGTCTTCTAAAAAGGCTAAAGAGCAGTGAAAATGGGAGAAGTAGACTGGTTGTGATGTCATTTGGCACCACAATTAGCACTAGAGACAGGAAGGAAACTGGAAGACTTAGTGCTCCTTTCAAAGAGGGTCAGTACTACTCAGCTCCACCTGATTGCTACCAGCACCCAAAGTGGAACTGCTACAACAGGAGCTTTCAATTAACACAGAGTATCTAGAAGTCCCTACTTTTGAGAAAATCATGATTTTTAATATTGGTATAAATGTGGCATTCCAGGCAAGCCACATCAGCATCCTGTATAACATCTCGCCTAGACATGTCCTTATATAGCATCACTCTGTTTATGTGTTGTAGTTAGGGAGTCATAACCCACTCAACACTACAGATAGGCAATGAATGGTTACTGGATAACTACAGAGAGCTATCAAACTCCTTCTGATTAGAACAAGATCCAGACTTAGGCAGTAGAAAAATTCAGTCAGAACAGTGTGGCTCTTAGTGTGGTCCATAATAGACAATGGCATAGCTCACTCTAAATCCTGCTTGTGCGTTTCACAGACTCTTGCCTGCATTCCATCAAGGGCCATAGACTTCATTATATCATTTATAGTATCCAATTACAGGCCGTCTCCTGGATGCCATTTCCATCAAACTTACTGAGATGTGCCCTGTGCATTCTAACTTTTCATATTATCAGCTGACATTTCCATCCAAGTGCTAGAAATGCCTCTAATTTTATTCTGACACATCAAAGCAGATATAGCAGACTTTCATTTCTAAACCTCTGGTCATAGAGAATCTTTGAAAATGAGCTCAATACCAGGCAAGCATTGCTCCTCAGTAAGAGAGACACATCCAATTCTCCTCAGACCCAGTGTGGGTGGGCTGAGAAACCCAACAAGACTGCCACTACAGTGAAGCAGCTCTGGGATGCTCCCCAATCCTAAACCCAAAATTATATAATAACAGAGAAGAAGCATTCTGACTTTCAGGGTGGACATCAGGTACACAGCAATATAACTTATTTATATTATTCCTTTTACTAAAGGTTTATCCAAAGTGCTCAGATGAGACTGGTAATTTTTATCTCTTTACTATTATAGACTATAGAGAAGACTACAGGGAATTGAAGGCTATAGAGAACTAAAGATACACAATCATGCTGTCATTAGAAGATTTCTTCCAATTTCCCTAAAACTGTAGTAGGCTCTTTTTAGAAATGTACATCCTTAACTTTTTTTATAAGTTGGCTCCCTGTACACATGGATTCAAAAATCCACCAAACTCAGGAAAAGTATTCCAAAACACTGTGCTAAACATGTACAGAATTTTTTCTTGTCGTATTTCCCTAAATAATACAGCATAATAACTATTTGCATACATGTATACTATATTAGATATAAGGAATCTAGAAATGATTTAAAGTACACAGGAGGAGGTGTACAGGTTCTATGCAAATGGATTTTGGTATCGACAGGGGTCTTGTAACACACACCCAACAGAAATTGAGGGACAACTTAGTATGCATAATACAAACCAGTAGAATGCTGGAGCTCTGGGCAAGGCTGTGTGTGTTATTAGAAAGCTCAGATAGTGCTCACTTAGGCAGCACATATACTAAAATTAGAAAAGCTCACACAATAAAAATACTCTATACATCAGAAGTCACAAGATACTAAGTCATTCCCATAATATTTAAGACGGGAAACTAAATTTCAGCATTTGTATTCTTACCTGCAGATCTTCTTCTCTTCATATTCAGATCCATTATTTTTTGGTTTTTTGTTTTTTGCAGGAAATCAGCTTTGCATACCTCTTGCTGAAAAACAAAATAAATGCCTCCCATTCATTTTTTTTTTGAAGCTAGAATTTTTAAAAAGCTCTAACTGCTTTAAGTTTTTATACATTTAGTCTAACTCTAATTTATGTCTAAATTATGCCTAACTCATGCCTAAATAGCTGGATCTATTTTTGTATATAGGAATCTATCATAATATTGTCAGTAAAAAGTGCCTTTTGGAAATGTACTGAGAACTTTAGAGATTCAATGTTTATGTCCTCCAAAAATGTGTTCCACAAAGCTTTAAGTAATGTCTTTTTTAAAATGAAACACGTTTAGCCTTCATTTCTTAGGAATCATCAGAAGCACTACCATAGGAAATTATTGCAATTTCTTTTTAAAAAAGCACTTGGACGTATCTGTTCCCTCTGCATCTTTCAGACAGGCTCTGTGCTCTGATCCATAAATGCCTTACCTTTGATGGTTATCCACTTCACATATTCTTTTGGAAGTTGTATAAATGTATAAAATATACATTTTATATTAAGTGTAACGCTCTCAAAGTAACAAAATTTTTCATTAGCCTTGTCTCTTCTAATGGCAATAAATAAAAAGAGATACGATAGGTATTTAGTAGCATACCTACCATGGGCTAGCGCTCTTTTGAGGTAATGAGTTTTCTTACTATCGTTAGGAGGATAAGACAACTCTCACGTTGAAATGTGCATTTAAATTATACTAAACCCCTACATTCATGTTCTCCTTTCCTCTCCATGTAAATCTTACACAAAAAGGCACTGAACAGAGGACCTCAAGAAAATCAACTCAACCCATTCTAGATAATGAAGGAAAGTTGCTAACAATTCATGACCATAGCTTCATCCAACAGGTAAAAGCAGTCTAGAATTCTACTATGTCATGATAGAAATCAGAAGGAGAGGTAAGGGCCAAGGTCTTAGCAGGAAAAGATAATAATTCTGGATTCTGAAAGTAAGTATACTGAGATGCTCAAGGGGGCTTTCCAGTTAAACTTAGAAAAGGCAAATATCACCAAATCCAGAGACCCTCTCCTGGGGTGGGTGGGGTGTGGGGGTCAGACTTATCAATAATACCCACCCTTTTAAAGTATTGCTATGGCACTGCTTTTGTCAGTTTATATAGATTAAATCATTTACCATATTTCATTAAATCTAAGCTATCACTGACTGTAAGAAGCATTATCACATTGTACACTACTAAAAAAGAAAACAGTATATTATGGATAATACTATGATATACCATTGATTTAAAGCACATTCTGATTTCAGAGATATTCAATTTTTAAATGTCTCTTCAAATTTATGTATTGAGGGCTAGTAATTTTTACAACTACATTGTGAAAGTAAGTATTGTTTGTTATCTTTGATTTATAGATAAGGAAACAGAATCATTCACTTGCTCAAGGTTAGACAACAAGATGGAAAAATTAGTACTCTAACCTAGCCAATTGGGCTCTAGAGTTTGTGCTTTATAGAACCATCCATATTCCAGTTTCCATGGTATGATTTTAGCCTTTTCTTTACAGGACAATAAAATAACAATAGCATTAATACCTACCATTTAAACACCAGGTAGACTGCTAAGTGCTTTACAAAAGCCTACAAGTTGTTCTCCAATGCTAGCCAAGTAACCTATGTTGGGATGGTTACAGACTCTTCTGAGCTTCAGATACTTTAGGACTAGAGTGAGGACTAGAAATCAGACATTTTTGAGAAGGCATATAAAAGACAACATTTTATCAACACCCTACTAAGTAGGTGTAAGTGTGCCAACATTGTAGACAGACCCCTCCTATTAGGTCACAGACTCCTGACTCAGCAGGTTTTCCTACTCCAAAGACCAAACACTATTTTTTCTAAATACGCAAAATTTGTCTTCCAAGGTACTTCTTAAAAGTTGTCAAATTTATTTCAAAACAGATTTTTGTAATATGCTTTCTATATCCTTTTAAATTCTGTAAAATCTGTGGTAATGTCTCCTAGATCTTGATATTGTAATTTAAAAAATGTATAATTGATATTGTGTAACAGGAAGAAAAGGTATAAAGGAGCAGGGGAAGTGGGAGGGGTAGGGGAAAGGAGAAAAGGGAAAAGAAAAATATGAGAAAAGGAAAAAAATGGAAACAAAGTCTTTGCAAATAGGGAAGGGTAGAGGGGGTGAAGGGAGGGCAAGGGAAGGGAAAAAAATAAGAACCAAGATACTCATGTAATGGTACAAGATCCCAATGATGAATGTAACTGTATTTTATACCTAAAATGTACCAATAAACTTAATGGGGAAAAAAAATTCGCAAAATAGCACTGTATGGAAAATAGAAACCATAAAAGTTAACTGAAAAAATGTTAGTTTTTAGAATCTAGATCTGATCTTTCTGCTTTCATGAGGGAGAAAGAATATAGCATAGATGTTTCACTAGCCCCTTCACTGTGCTTATCTGAGAATGAATCACTATTGCCCCACTATGGAGTGTGGAACCAAAGTTTGCCCTGGGGGTGGGTGGACAGGAGGGTGATGTGGTAGTGTGGAAGCACAGAGGGTATGTTCGTGCTGGAATTTTCCACCTCTGAGATGAGTTATTGCCACTATGTACTGGCACGACGAAATTCTGCCACCCAAGCCTTATTGGGAATGGCTTGCACAAAAGCAGGGAACAAAGCCACCTTGGCAGCTGGCACCGGCATCTTTTTTTCTTTCAAACATTGAACATTTACAGAGTATCCTCTTGGTTCACTCAGCTGCCACCATCCCAGGGAATGCAGCTGGCCTCATTGGTTAACCTGTCCCAGACTGAGCTCCTGCTGCCTCAGAAGAAAAGGCAGGATGCCAGCCCATTCCTTGTCATCCTTTTGGGTCACTCTAGCATGACAGACCAGGCACTTCATGTTCTTCATGGAAGGGAAGACATCCATCTACAACAGACATTTACAAAGTTTTGCACTAGTAGAGAAGGTTTAAGAAATGCAGTCTGGAGTCATTGAAATGCCACCAGAGCTGCATAAGCTCTCTCTTAGGTAGAAAAATGGTAAGAGATGGCTTTTTTCTACAACCCTTTGATGATGGTCATGGGTCTACTCACTATTCATAGACCAGTTCATAAAGATACACTACCATATTAGTGAGTGTCCACAAAAGTAGATACTACAATAATTGCTGCACACAAGATTTACCCATATTTAAATAAAACTATAATATTTGTGAATATCACAAATTGTGTAGAGCTTATACTGCTACTTAATACCTCAACAAATCACTTAACTTCCTCCCACAGTTGAAAAATATCATTTAGAAGTAAAAATACCTGTAGAGGCTTTCCAAAGACATCTTGCAAGAAGCCTCTTGCACAGTCTTTCAAGACTCCACTTTACCTATGGTTCCATTTCACTCCTAAAGCTATAAGTCAAGTAGTTAAATGTATTTTTCAGGTCACCCCAGCAGAAGAGCAAAACTGGATAGCAATTTGGAAAACTACTTTTCTCTGGCTCTCACTCCAACAGCAACTGCAAAATCTTAATTTCAGATACATCTTCAAGTAATCCGATACATGTGCTATTTTGAAGTGCTTCCAGAGAGTGTCTCACCTGCACTTACAAACTCTAGCCTCTTAGGTAATGCTTGGGGTTTGTAATTTTCTTTATGTCCTCTCTTATCAGAGGGTGATCAATCCTCTAACTGCCTAGAAAGGGGGTCACTGAGGGCTGAATAAAAAAAGACAGTCGAGACTTGTGTAATTTCAAAGTATATGGGGGACTGGGAGGTCAGTGCCTCAGAGTGGGCAAAGACAAAGGCACTCCGACCTTGCCACTGTTTATTGGATTCGTAGGGAGTATAAGATGAGTCAGAGAATGGTGATAATCCTAAATTGACAAGGATCTTATAATCGGAGGAAGTATCAGATAACTTGGAGGGTGACAGTAATCCTATGACGATGAGGATCTTATGCTGATGAGGATTTTAGGTCAATGAGAAGCTTAAATTGATTAGAATGATGAGATGAGCAAAATGTTCTTACAATAGTAGAATGAGTTAAGCTGATAAGGAATCCCCAGGTGAAATGATTTTTCCTAGAATTATGTAGAATGGCTCCCAACACTCTCTGATTTCCTTTGGTCAGATCTATCCTGGGACAAACCCCAGCTGACATCTATCCCATATGTTTTCCTCTCCCAGATTTTTCCACAAGTCTGTGGTTTGTCTGTCTGCTATACAAACAGACATTCCTCTAAGGGGATCCAATCTATCCCAGGGTGCTCCTTTGCATGAGTATTATTCTTTGCTTTATTGGGTTATCTTTAGTCCAAATATATTTTATAATCATTATGGAATGATGCTGTCTTCTCTTTTCATTGTTTAGCTATGCATGGATTTGTTACCACAGTTAGGTTAAGGAATACCAGGACCCAAACATACTGTTGAAGTTTCAGTTACCATGGTATATTTACTATGAAATGGCATAAAGTAAAAACTCTGTTGCTAGATCTTCAGTTCACACACAGGCTTTAGCTTTCAGTCTGCCACTGACTGCTCACTGCAAATCTGCCATTCAGCTCACACACAGTATGTAGCTATGCTGATAAACCCACACAGCAATTTACTGAAATGGTGTTCAACAGAGAGAGATGGTCAAAAAAGATGAAACTGTAGCAAAGCAAAGTGATAATGCTGGAAGCAAAATTACCATATCTATCCTGATTGCAGGGTGATGGGAGTGTCAATGTTTAGAAGACTCATGTGCAGCAAGAGAAGCTTGGTAAAGGTGTCCTTAGAGAGGTAAGGATGGAGATGCTCTAAAAGTGATAATAGCAAAATGTTCCAAGTCAAAGAAACATTCCTAGTGACTTCATGACACTTAAATGTAAAGGATGAACTATTGGAAGTTGATCTTTCCTGAGAAAGGAGTATGACAATTCACCAAGGCATAGAAGTCGTTTGCTTCATATGGTAAAGCGTATGGCAAAAAGAAAGGATCGAATATGGTTCAAAATACTTTTAAAAGTTTCTTA